CCCCAAAACCCCAAAACCCCAAAACCCCATTTTTAAATAATAAGATTAAATGTTAAAATCGAATTAAAAATGGCATTCCAAAATATTATTTTAACTTTTCCATTTGATTATCGAATAAATATATTCTATCAATTTGAAGAACTTAGCTTGTCTATGATAGTGTCAAAGCATACCATAAATGACTTTGAATCCAAGTTTGAGTACTAAGTACCTAAACTCATTCTCAGATAGCCATTGTGAGAAAGTGAATTAAAAATCATATTGTCAATTAAGTCAGCATAAGAAGAAAACATCATCTTATCTGAATAGGCGTCTCCAATTATTAATGGTTTTGGAGAGCCGTTAAGATTCGACCAAGCTTTCCTCACTGGAATAAGTGATTAATCTATCATTTTCTCTATGACTATGTCAGGAAGAAAATAAGCAATAATCTTTAATGCTATTATTTCGCTTAGACCAGTATCTTAAGTTTTGAGAGCATAAAATTAATCTTTCACTAAACTCAATGCTTCTTTAAATTGCTAATCAAAACTAAGATTCATGGATTTTGAGCTTAGCAAGTTTGCAAAGTTGATTTTATATTGACTAGCACATAAGTTGTTGTAAAGTCTGATGTCTTATTTTTTTAAGACAGAAGGGCGCTGATTTACAGCGATCATTCCTTGGAATAAACTATGATCTGTAATATTATTAGCTAGACAGTAATCTCTCATCGCAATGATACTAGCAGCTGTAAGTAAATCATTGATAGAACATCCAAATCTTCTACATATGTTTTACTTTAGTTAATCGACTCTCATATCTTTTGAAATAGTAATCTTAGGCTTATTACTCATTACTATCTAGCATAATTGAGAATCTTGATACTTTTGAGGTTAGTTTTTTAAGTAAATAAAGATACCAAAAATGCAAGTAATATATCTTCTGATGCTTTCATTGAGTGATCTTTATCTAACAAATGGTAGATTTTTTGAATCAAATTCATCTTGTAAGGCACAAAGCAAATTCAAGAATCCTACTCCATCAGTTAATCCATGATAAAATGCGAAAACTACTGCAGATTAATTTGAGTTGAAATCTTGCTTTACCATAACTCTATATTAGATTGATTCTCTCGGTAAATCCCTGATTTAGTGATTTGCTATATAATCTATTAGCGCTTATTCATTTTCAAAATCTTCAGGAATTTATGAAATAGCTCGATCTAAATGTTGTTCAAATTCCTCATCACTTAATTTTATGTAGTAGAAATTATTAAATACCTTGACCAATTTAGATCGCATTTCTGGTATTCCTTAAGTGTTTCTTATAATTTGCATTTTGATACTATTCAAATCTTTGATTTTAGTTTTTGTAATTACGTGATAGACTGTCATAAGATTTGCTCTATAAAATATGTTATCCTCTCCTTCTTGCACTTTTATAATGTTTAGATATTTCTCCAAGTACCAATGAATTGTTTGATCAAATAGAAGGTAAATAAGTACTCCTTATATAATAGAGGTCTGAGAAATAAATAGACAGCAGATTAGAATCTTAAATAAGGTTATTGATGCTGATTTTAAATAACTTTCTATGCTTGGATGCATTTGAACTATAATTAATAAATTAGTTGATTTATAATAATATGACATAATATACTAACCACTATTTCATAAGATATCCTTTGTAGGGGTTTTGGGGTTTTGGGGTTTTGGGG